AGTCTTTGTTTGTGGAATGCCAGCTGGCAAAGTAAGGCTGGAAATGGGAGAACAGCCAATTACTGCAGAGCAGGACAGTGGACTCTCCAGGCTCTGAGGGCAGAGATCCTGGGGACTGTATGGTGAAGGAGGAGCAACAATGCAGCCAGTTCCTGTCTGAATGCTTGCAGTTCCATTCACTGACTGACAAGAAGCAAGGTGTGTGTAATATTCACTCAGAGGTCAAGTCTAGTGCTCTACACTAACTAGACAAATAAACAGAGTATTTTTTTGTCTGACAGCATTATTAAACAGTAATAAGGTATGTGCTTAAAAAATAGTAGATCTTGAAGGTTCAGCCTTTGAACATCTTGACCACAGCCAATGTTTAAGGTTTGGAGAGGAGACATTCAGTTCACTTCATATTTTTCTGATAGAGTCAAGCAAAAACTCAGTGTGCTAGCCACCACAATATAGCTTGGAAATGTTCCTAGCATATTGTCTGCAAAGCTTGAGCCATGATATCAGTGCACTGAGGACTTTTTGCAATATCCCTGTTGATTCCTTGCATCCTGCTTCCAAACCCTGGGGTTAGGACTAAATCAAAACCTTGACCCACCAGCTAGTCGAACAAATGTCTGATCTGCTGGAGATCTGTTTGTATTGCCAAAGAAAAAGTATCGGGTATTTAAAAAAATGGAAAAGATGCACAAAAAAGCATCCTGCAGGTTGGGAAATGGGATGGGACGCTTTCTCTTCATTCCCTTAATTTATAATTGATTATAAATGGCCATTACTCTGGTGGAGAGCTTCGCTCAATGGGAAAACATTAATGTTTGAACAAAAAAAGGCATTTCAGAGTCTGGCCAGCCGCTGTGTCCAGTCCCTGCCAGTTTTCATCTCTGCTTTGAGAGAGGCCGGTGTCCCTGGCCACAGCAGCACCACGCATCAGGCCTGCTGGTAGCAGCTGAAGGGCAAGATATAATTGTCCGCCTCCCATTTCTTAAAAGTAAAGATCCACTAAGAGCTCCAATTCTGTGCATGCCACCTAGCGAAGCAATTAATATAAAAAATTAATGAGGAGCAGACTCAAGACTCTGGGAAGGTTGCCATGGTAGCGTATAGAGGTTAGGTTCATCCCACTCAAGTTGGATGGGAGAAACAATTTGCAGAGGTGCAGTGGGGTTGAAATCTACCCTTTTAAGGCTGGAAGATGTGTGCTTCCTCCAGGAAACACAGTCATACTGTGCTTGTTTAATGGCACAGATGTGATAAATGTGGGTTCAGCAATACAGCACAGGAAAAACCAACAGGTCTTTTCAAACAGAGTAAAAAAGAGTAAAACTACCAGATAAAAAGAGGGAAGGGGTAGTGCAAGGGTGATGATGATTATTATTTTTAAAAACTATAGAAATGAGGATTTACTAGTACACTAGTAGCACTAATGCACTGTCAGAAACTTCAGAGAAGTCAGACAGGTTCTTCATGCCAGTGAGATGATGCAGAACAAAGCCACATAACAGCTGGGCGATTCTGTTAAGTAGTCAAGGGAGGTGAGCTGGTTTTGTATGGTGAGCTGAGCAGAGCCAGCAACCCAGGCGTGGTGTGGGCCAGATGTTATCCTCTGGCGCTTTGTCAGTCAAACCTTTGTCAAACCTGAAGACATAGGTCTCTCAAGGGCAGAGAGCGCTCTCAGTGGAGAGTGCAGATCAGTGGACCTTTTCAGCACACAAAGAGCGCAGAAAATTGATTGGAAAATGCTGTAGATGATGTTCAATTTCATTTCAAACTCCAAAGCCAAGATTTGCTGGCAGACCTTTCTTGTTTGCCAGAGGCTTTCTTTTGTTTCCCAGTGGAATCCTGTCACTGGGAACTCGGGGTTTGCAATTTGTGATTAGCACATAGGTCAAAGTTTTGATTTAACCCAGGCTAAGGAGACTTTCATTCTTCCCTGACACCTTCTATTTAGAAAAGTGTATATATATTAAAGATATAAAAAACTCTATGCACAGAAAAGATATGTCTTTTTTTTCCCCCTCACAGAACCTTTATCTGTGTGAGTATCCGATATCAATGAAGTCTGTGTAACAGAAAGGACACACAGACTCTATCAGCACACAGTGACAGCAGCCAGAGGCCTTATCAGTGCTGGCTTCTTGATCTTAGGAGACTAGGGCTTCATCATCTCTCGTATTTTTCTCCTTCTTACATCACTGCCTTATTACACCACAGTGGGAAATTGGAATGGAAAATACTACATTTATTTCACGCCACAGAGTTGGTAAAAAACGAAGAACTATAGAAAATGGTATTTTCCAGGAAGCAGGATCTAGACAGACTTAAGTAGAAACAATTTCACAAAAGTGATGTTGCGTCACGTCTGCCCTGGCTGTTGTCTGCTTCCCCGCAGTGGGTACCTGTTCGCGGGGCTGGAGTATGGCGCCGAGTGTTACTGCGGCAACCGCATCACCAGCCCCAGCACCAGGGATGAGGAGTGCAACCTGGACTGCAAGGGGGAGAAGGGCTCCGTGTGTGGAGGGGTGGGCAGGCTGTCTGTCTATAAGGTGGAGGATCTGCATCCTGGAGCAAAGAAATGTGAGTGTAGAACCTGGTCCTGGCAAAACCTGAGAGGTGGGCAGCCGAGCTGTGCATCTCTCTTGCTCCAGTATAAAACACCTTGAAAACCACCCTGTCTATCTACAGAACTACGACTGTCTGACCTGCCTCCTGTTTTGTGTTGGACCTCTGTTCCCTGTTTATACAGGATAAGAAAGATCGTGCTCACTGTACACAGTAACGTATCGAATTGCATTTACACAGGGCACATTTTTACCAAGGGCCTTCAGAATCTGCTCCTGAAATGAGGGTTACTGTCTTTCTTCTTGTCAGCATGCCGTCCTATAATCAGAAAGCAGGTATCCAGCTGATGCTCATGGCAAAGTGGAGACCAGGCATGACTGCCCTCCCCCGGAAGGGAAGCCAGACCCTGACAGGGAAAGGGGAAATTCTTTAGGGTGGCCAACAGGTTTTGTTTTGGAGATGGGAGCGTCCCACAGAAACCCAGGTGAACCCCTGAAGATCCTTCAGACTCACCACAGGACAGACGCCTGAGACTGGAACTGAACCATGAGATCCCTGAGCTGTGACACAGCAGCGCTAAATGCCAGGCCACCATGCTGCCTCCTTCCCCATTTTAGATCTCACAGGGCTTTCCCCGCCAAAGCCACAAACTCCCAGAGAAGCAAACCACAGGGCTGGTGGGCTGACAGGTAGCTGAGAGCATCTTGTCCAGCTCAAACCACGCAGTCATACTGGTCACAGCCTGCTACTGACACAGCCCAGACTCCATCAGGTGATCTCTGAATGGTATATCTTATCCTGTGCTCGAAATAAGGCCATCAGAATCTCTCTACCTCATCTATCGTTATAGCATTTTGGCTAGCGCCATCTGCATAGAACACACTTTACACCTGTTTCTACTTGAAGCCTTGTAAAAAAATAATCAGACAACAGCAAGCACCGTGAACACCTAAGAGCAAGGTCAACAGTAATACTATTTATAAATCTACAACAGTGAGCTAGTAAGGCTACCAAAATTAAGCACTCAAGTGTTTCATTACAATTAAACTGCACTGTACCCAGCTTATTCAGTGGTGCACAGTGCTTTATTGTATGCAATGGCAGTGGTTAAGAGCTGTGTTACTTTAAAGCACAAAGTTCACACACTAAGAGTACTGTGTGAACAGACAGGCTTCAGCACCCTGGGAAATTACTCATGAGGACAAACGAAAGGAATACAAAACTCCTCTCTCCCAGTTCCAAAGACAAAACCACTAAACAGGGAGCAGTATGAGATATAACAGTATCCATGCAAAACTAAGTACTAAGTTGCATAAAGCTAAATGATGCTGCTTTACAAGAATATCAGAGGCTCAAACCAAATACTCTGCCAGCTCTGTCTTTACGATAGAGGGGAAATCTGCTCATTCCACTATGTGACAAATATCCTGTTTATGAAATCAGCAGCTCAATTAAAATATGTCCTTAGAAGGAAGTCTTGGAAAAGGTCCTGCTGACTTGCAAGCTGGCATTAACCTAAAGGCTTAATTAAAGATGTAAATAAACAATAATTGATTAGCTAATTAATGAAGTGTTTGTGCTGCTAGACTATTTTTGAAACCCCACTTAAAAGACTGACAGGAAGATCCTTGTGCCAACAGATGAAAACAATTTTTAATCAACTAAATTGATGCGAGGGGGATATAACGAGATCCACCTCAGAGCCTACCGACCCGCCGACTAAAAAATGACAAGCAGGAGCCTGTGCACAAAGTCCCCGTTCCCACTGTGCCCAGGCAGCTCAGTTTGTGCAGAACCGGTCTCTTTCGCGTGGCTCGCGGGTTTCCTTTCACCCGTCGGGCCGAGCCCGTGCTGACGCCGGCCTGTCCCTCTCGCCGGCTCCAGACAGGAACGTGCGGTACCGGGGCTGCTTCCACGGGCCGGACAACACAAGCACCGCCTTCCTCGTCCACTCCGTCCAGCCCAACCTGACGGCGCAGTCCTGCATCGAAGTCTGCACGGACAAGGTAAACCCAGGGCTGCCCGCCCCCTCTCGGCCCTCTCTCTCCCATCTCCCACTGCCTGGAGGAGATCCCTGCTCCCTCGCCTGCTCCACGCAGGCAGATTACCACTGATTGCTCTGCCTGGCCGTGACAGTGTTCAGTAATAGCTCGCTCGGCACAGCCCTGATGAGGATTTGATATTTCAGTCGCTGAAAACAATCTTGCTGTTTCAACTTTAATGCTCTTATTACAAGAATCAATAGCTCCTGTAATCAATCTTTCAGGCCAATGCACCAGTCTATATGAACCATAATCACTGTCCCTTTTCTGTGAGCGGTATTGTTTTTTACATGCTTCTCTTGTGAAATTATTTTCTTTTTTATTAAACTGAGCAAGAACTAGCTTCAATAAACAGACGCGTTTGGCTTTAATAGGAGATTGAAACCCGCAGTTTAAGCCCCTGTTTTAACTTCCGTTAAAATTCCGTTTTGAAAAAACCTTAATGCGTTTTAGCATCAATAAAAGGCTGCATCTCTGGGATAATGATGACTTATGGTTTTCAATTTTACACACACACATAAATAATCTAGCATTGTGCAATTGATTCTACTATATATTTGGGAGAAGTATATATATAACCGGATTTATATTATTCAAACTCAATCCTCAGGCAGAAGAAAGAGCTGCTCGAACTGAAATAGTTAAGAGCTGGTTTGAGTGCTGGTCCTGCCAGCCTGCAGATGACTTCAGCAGAGTCAGAAGCAATGCAAGTCAGGTTCTAAGAGCCTATTTGTATGTCTGGGACAAGGCCCCGAGACTGACAGCTTTTCTGAAGATGAGAAATGCATCTGCATGGTTTCCACCTGTGAGCCTGCCTGCAGAAATGTTTTCGTTTTTTAAACTTTAATGACCCATTTACAGATTCTGTTTTTACGAATGTGTGACGCACGGAAGAAGTTAAAATAGAAAGTCTGGGGTTTTAAAGCACAGAGAGGGGGGAAAAGATGTACTGTATATGGGATTTTATTACGTTGCAGGCCAACAAAAACTTCGTATTTTCCATTCTTCTTCTTTTCTTGGTGCTGTTTGTAGGCTAAATACTGAAAAGAAACTGGAGACCTTTAAAAGCCTGGGACAGCTTTTACTGCCTTATGCCTCATACTGTACCTACAGAACAGACAAAAGGACTGCGCTCTCTGCTTGTGTCCCGCCAACAGGAGCTCCCCTTGGCTGTGTTCCGGAGACCAGACTGTTTCTGCGGCTACGCCTCCGCCCACTTCACTCTCCACCACCCGGCGGGGGAGTGGCGGTGTGCGCGGGAGACCAACAGCACCAACACCACGGCCCCGGGCCTGCGGGACCACTACGCTGTGTATCAGACGCCGGTACAAGGTGAGGCCCGAGAATCCCCCCTGGGCTGTGACCATGTCCCCTGACATCAGGAGCAAGCGTCGAGTGCTTCGAGTGCAGGAATACTACATTCAGATGTATTTCAATTAAACCCCCGATGCATTGAAATAAGCAGCCTGTATAGCTTTGATAAAACACCAAGCTCAACATGGAATAGACACAAACACATCTATAGCTGGCAGTGCAGCTAAATAATAGCACCTGTCACCCAACATACCGTAAAATGAATAACCATTAATTAATCTTTTATCAAGCTAGCTGATACAGTCACAAGCCAGAAATAGTGAGCTTTTAGCAATTTGACTACATCTGCGCAACTGTACCCCTCAGACACCCGATGCACAGAGAGGAAGTTCCTGCCGGAGAAGTCTAGCAGCCTGGTGGCCCTGTCCAGTTTCCCCGGCGCTGGAAACACCTGGGTGCGGCACCTGATCGAGCTGGCTACTGGCTACTACACTGGCAGCTACTACTTTGATGGCACCCTCTACAACAAAGGTGAGAACTGGCCCTTGGTCCCTGTCCTGGACAGCAAACAGACTGGCCTGCTCCTGTTATGAAATGTCAAACGCCGTCTTCACTGCTGCTGCGGTTTCAGTGTCTTTCCTTGGAAAAAACATTCCGCAGCCAGTTCTATTTTAGGCTTTCTTTGCAGTCCAAATACAACAGGCTGCGCACTAGAAGTTTTCGCTCCTACACTAGTAACGCTGCAGTAGAAATCACATGAAAAGGGGGAAAGAATTGCAGCTTTCCATGTCAATTCAGAACTGGAAATGAAGTGCCTCTGGAAGCCCCTTGCCCCCTTATTGGATTTGATCGCGCTGTTGGAGCTGGGCTGGCGACAGGCGCTGGTGAATTTGCCAGGAAGACAGCTGCAGTGGGATCTTAAGCCCCGCGCGCTGGCGACTTCGCGCCACGTTGCGTAACACGATTGTGTGTCCCGCGGCTAGGCTTCAAGGGCGAGAAGGATTACTGGAAGAGTGGGCGGACCATCTGCGTGAAGACCCACGAGAGCGGAAAGAGGGAGATCGAGATGTACGACTCCGCCATCCTGCTGATCCGGAACCCCTACCGCTCGCTCGTGGCCGAGTTCAACCGCAAGTGTGCCGGGCACCTGGGCTACGCTTCAGAGCAGCACTGGAAGAGCAAAGGTAGTGTGTGTGCGTGCGTGCATGTGTGTGCATCTGTGCGCGTGTGCGTGCGTGCATGTGCGCGTGCATGTGTGCGTGTGTGTGTGCGTGCGTGTGCGTGCGTGCATGTGTGCGTGTGCATGCGTGCATGTGTGCGTGTGCGTGTGTGTGTGCACGCTCTCCTATGCTTCAAGAGGAAAACAAGATGACAAAAAAAACAGCTCACATTCATTGAAGACATTCTAAACTAGGCTCCGCGGTACACACGGGCTTGCGTGAGCTGGCACCTCATCTCCCAAGACTTGACTCAATACCAAAAACTTTGGATGACTTTAAACATCGCAGCGCAGCAGACAGAACTGGAGCACATCAGAATAAGAAACAGGGAGGGAGAGGACTGTAAGGCACAGCTTGTGACAGTGGGAGATTATTTAATATGTAGATGGTGCTTAAATTTGTAGGAAAATGCAGAGATACTAGTAGTAGTTGCAGTTTCCATTTCTTTTCAATGTTTTAGTAGAAAAAGCAGTGGACGAACAGCTTGTTTCTTTCCTGCAATATTTAACAAAGTCAAGTACAGTACAACTAATCCTTTCAGAATCAGGGTTTGCAGACCAGTGCAGGTATCAGGGTTTGCAGATCAGTGCGGGTATCAGGGTTCGCAGATCAGTGCGGGTATCAGGCTTCGCAGACCAGTGCGGGTATCAGGGTTCGCAGACCAGTGCGGGTATCAGGGTTCGCAGACCAGTGCGGGTATCAGGGTCCGCAGACCAGTGCGGGTATCAGGGTCCGCAGACCAGTGCGGGTATCAGGGTTCACAGACCAGTGCGGGTATCAGGATTCGCAGATCAGTGCGGGTATCAGGGTTCGCAGACCAGTCGCTGGGGAGGAATCAGTGGGAACTGTCGCCCGGAAGCATCCTCACCCTGCCTCCTCTCTCCCAGAGTGGCCGGAGTTCGTGGGGAGCTACGCCTCCTGGTGGGCCTCCCACGTGTTGGACTGGCTAAAGTTCGGGCGGCGAGTCCTGGTGGTGCATTACGAGGAGCTGAAGAGGGCGCTGTTCCCCCAGCTGCGGCTCATCATGGACTTCGTCAACGTCTCCGTGACAGACGAGCGCCTGCTCTGCGTGGAGAGCAACCAGGACGGCAACTTCAAGCGCTCCGGCGCCCGGCAGAAGGCGTTCGATCCCTTCACCGCGGACATGAAGCAGCTGATCGACGGCTACATAAAGACCGTGGACGAGGCACTCCGGCTCTATAACTTCACCGGCCTGCCGCAGGAGTACGTGCCCAGATGATGACGGAGAGGCGTGGCAGATTGAAATCCACACTCGGAGCACTGCTCCAGGGCGGCGGGGGCAAACCCTACCAGCAGACCGAAGGCAACACCAGCAGGAGCCCAGCTTCTGCAGGTGTACAAGGGCACAACACAAGACCAAGGCAACAGCACAGGAGCTGCAGTACATGTGGCTCGCGACATTTGCAGAGCCGCTGCATAAAAACCGTTCTCAGTTATTCTCAGAAGTTATTTTTAATGTTATTGTTTTTTAAACTTTAATACATTTTTGTTTTTTCAATAGTTCTCGGGGTGCCAAAACTCACTTGTCCTTTTCAAAATGTAGCATTCAGTGTCGCCTAATGGAATTTCTATGAATCCCGACTTCGACGATTTATAAAAAGAGTATAAATAAATTAAGCCTCCGTTGCTTGATTCAGCAGCTCAAACGCGTCTCCGTCATCAGCCGCGCAGAAAGACACTGAATCCCAGTCGGGTCTTCCCAAAAAAAGAACGTTCGGGCATTTGTCATCTTTGTGCTAAATCATGCCCTGAACTGAGATTTGTGTTAGAGAAGTCTGAAATCTCTGAATACTAAAAGCCTAAATCGAATCTCAAATAGGTTTTCACTCCCTGTGACATCACCTACTTGCAGTATCTTGCAGTGTATCTTACACTGTAACATGCCCTGTGTGGCGGCAGGACTGCATCAATCCAGAGTCTGTACTATGGACAGGAACTGCACCACACATGTCTCTGCACATGGGAGGCTCAATCGCCCAAGGCCTGAATCAGCACATATCAGATCAGAAGCTGGAAAAACGAATGCATTAATGACCCCATGATAGCCTGAAACTACACAGTTCAGTGCCTAATACCTACAGAAGCACCTCCAAAACCCAGGTTTCACAGGGAACCAGTACAATTTACGCAGTGCGGGACAGGAGTTACATGCTGATGCAGAACCGATTTAGAGAGCAACAACAGGTAGAGAGCCCGAAGCGTGTTGGCTGTCGGTAGAAAGACAACCACGGGGTCTCGCCCGCTCGCCACAATGCATGACCTCAGCACGCGAGTCTTTCAGATCCCCTCGGAGTTACAGCAGGGCGGAGGGTAAGGGAGAGAAATAAATACATCATTAACCCTCCCACAGAGCACGCCTGAGGGAAGAAGACGTCCCCCTCCTCTCGTGCCGGCTGCTGCAGGTGCATCACTCAGGAAGTGTAATTATCGGTATTATGGCTGCACGGCATGAGCCGTGTCTCACAAGGGCAACGCTGCATGCCTGTGGGTGATACTGATGTGAGAGAAAATGCTTTTTTTCTACTAATCTGTACTGAACAGATCATGAGCTTATTAGCCGCTCTTTGCAACTAGGAGGCAAACTGTCTGCACTTGGATGGGTATAACACCTGACAAGCCCCTTTTCCAAGGGTTGTTTTTCCCCTGCTAACGCTTGGAAGTGTCAGTTCCACAAGAAAGAAATCCACACCAGTGAAAAATAAATATTCATTGGATTTCGGATTTCGATTGTTTTTTCCATTTGTTGGTAAACCTCATTAATAACGTTCCTTGTTAAGAAAAGAATGTCAGAAGACAACCTCAAGGAATGAGGTGGTGACAGGTTATTATGAACGTTGCCACTTCCCTTGCGCATTGACGTTACTGACTGTGAAGTCAGGGAAACTGGGGAAAAGATGGCACTGCTTTTGGATTCTGCACACAGTTAGCATAACATATTTCTGCCCAGGGCTGAACTGCACTGCCTGAGGTGTATCTAAGATGGAGCTGAACAGCAGTGGCTAAACCAGCCACAGCTCGGCCAGACAGGTCAGCTCATCTACAGCCAAAAGAAAACAACAGAAAGAGGACATGACCAGACCTTTCAAAGATGAAGACAGATTTTAAACCTCAATGCAGTAACTCATGGAATTTCACTTCTATTTTCACTATACAAGTGAATAGCTGTAAGTTTATTATTTGCTTCAGGATCCTGGCTGACTAAGGTCAGCACTATGTCGTGTGCAGATAGTGGCAGGGAAGCTAGAATGGCCCCAGCATTAGAGATGATACCATCAATGAAAATGTCAAAGTCGTGCCTTGTAACTCAACCTCCAAAAAAACACCCGTCACTAAACCTCTACTTTCGATAACTACAATTCAGAAAACCTCCCAACAAGGCAGTCGCATTCGTCAATAGCACCTATCCTCATTAAAAGCTATCCCAGAACACACTATGACAGCTCCATTAATCTCAGATTCAACCTTTATTTTTGCACCTGACAGTAGCCATGAAATCACGAAAGGGTAAGAATGTGTTTCAGGGAAAAGTAGCTCTGAATTTACTACAAGATACACAGTGATTTCTGGAGACATTCAGTACATCCAATGCATCTGGCAGGCAGACTGTGACCCGGAGCTCATTCCTTGAAAACAGCCCAGCAAATGATCCAGCTTGTGTTTGAGAGTGAAGGAGAACCTGAATTTCCCCTCTGTGGGTTTTACCCTCCTGCTTCCGCATGACCACCCTCGTCTCCTTCAGTAGCTCACTCTGTGTCCCAGGGGATGTTCAAACTGCGTATCAGATTTTGATTAAAAAACAGGACAGATTTCACTATCACCACAAGCCACAAATTGTTTCTATTACACACATCTTCACCATCTCACAGTAAGAGCAACTGTAGATTCCTGTAAGGTGCAGATACTGTATGCCCTTTACTAATGTACTTAAAGTTACAGCAGAGGACATTTAGCACATGGATTCACATGAATCGGTATTTTTGACTACTGTTGGAAAAAGCTTTGACAGAACTCCATTCTACGTGTTTAGGGTGGATCCAACGTTCCAATGTTAACATTTACTTTTTAACCAGGCTCCTCAAAAGTCCCAAACCCTGCCCAACGCCCCCGCCGGCCCTTGGGAAACCTGAACTAAAAAAAACAAACAAAAGGAAGTTTTTTTTTTAACAGGGTCAGGTCCTCTGTGTTTAAAGTCATGTATTGTAATACTGATGTTTCAAATCCATAGTGTGAAGCATACTTTGTCTGTACTACTCTTGCTTAATTGCATTGACTTCTCACCCAACCCAATCACCACTTCTCCCTGGAAGTAATAATTAAAATGTGTGTCAATTACATAGCAGTTCCAGGAAAGGCACAATTAATCAGGGTGAATAACTGAAGTCAAGCGAATCAGTGAGCATGAAAGGAAAGAGATATTCTAATTAAAAGACAGCAAATAGATTTTAAAGCAGTTGCTGGAGTTATAATTGAAGTATAATTCTACTTTTTGCTTATACCCTTTCTGTTGATGTAACAGATGTTTGCAGAGATCTTGAAACGGTTTGAATCTTCCAGCAGATGAATACGCAGCAAGCTAGAAACAAGTACTTCGCTAGCTGGTTTTACCTCCATCTGATAACCAGAAAGTCAGGCCACAGTCCATGAAAGCAGAAAATGAAAACGGCAACGTCAGAGTACAACCCGAGTTGCACGGGCAGGTGAATGGAAAATGCCGAGCATTTTTGTTATTTCCACCTGCCCACTTCCCCGGCTTTCCTTAAAGCAGCAGAAAAAAGAGCCAGTCAGGATCCAGATTCGATACCATCCCCGTGTCTGCAGTTCTGCCCGTCGGAGATCTTCAAAAGGCCTGCAGCCTCTCTCGAGCCTTGCCCGCCGAGCGCGGCAGCCCGCAGGCTGGGGGACGCAGTCCAAAGATCTCCGCTGCGAGCCCACGCTCGCGGGAGCCCCTCGCCGAGCTGTCGCAGGCCGCTTCCCTGCCCGGCTCCGGTTCCTCTCCGAGCTCCTCACACCTCATTGCCACCCGAGAAGCCTGAAGGCTCTTTTAGCCAACTCCTCGGCCCCTCGTCCTTTTCGTGGGCACGACTGTCTGAACTTCCTAACACATCGACACCGTCCCAGACCTCTAATGCAGCATGCACAAGCTTAAACCCCTGGAACTCCACTCGAGAGGGGGGAATTCGCTTACAAGTTGGGGGAAGTGATGTCAAAATGTTTTGGGGGGGCCAGAGGGCAGATGGTACCATAGTACCATAGTTTCCCAAGCTAAGAGTAGACTCTTTCTCTTTGTGCTAGACTTTGGCTGATGGCCATCCTGCTCGGATTTTTAAAATCTTACCTACTAACATTACTTCATGGCATTCAGGAAGGCAGCTGCCTACCTTATTCCACAGGTAAGACCCGCTGCACGGCTCTCATTGTCAGCGGGTGTGGACGATCACGATCTAGTGTGCAAGTGTGAACACTTGACACAGAGGGTCTGCTGTACCTTCTCTCGCTCTCCCTTGTCATTCCCTCGGCATGCGCTCTCCATGTGATTAGGACATTTCGCACTAGCCCAGGACTAGAAGGCTGCCCATCGGGTTGCCTCTAGGGAGGGGGAGCCTGCCCACTGCACGCGCACGGAGCTGGTCTCCGATAACCAGGCTCCGCTCCCTCTCAGTGGGCGTGACGGGCTACGCTGGGGGGAATTGGAGCTCGGCAAGAAGCCCTCGGGTATTTCCACCCCCTCCGGCCACGGCAGACGAAAATGCGATGCCCCCAGGGGACATGGTAATTCAGAGCAGACACTTCAACTGCTTCGCCTGACAGCGGCACCGCAGAGCAGATGAAATGAAAGCTCTTGGTTGAAATGATCTGTAAGAGGCACAGGCAGCCATCAAACACCGCGCCCAGCCACCAGAATGGAAAATACTCCCTGTATTAAACCCCGCGATGGCTGAAGGACAGATACAAAATTGATACAAAAGTAATTTATCTCTTTCCTGCGCTTTTAAAGGCAGACAGCAATAACTGTTCTCTCAAAATTAACGGTGACGAAAAGAAGAACACTGGTCTTCTTTCCGCAAAAGCCCGGGGATGTGAAGGATGTCTACAAAAAGACATACAGTATACAGCAGACTTTAATGCTAAATATTTTCATGCAAATGAATGCATAGGTGGTCAGCGACGAAAAAATATAAATACTGCAAATGAAAATTAAAATAATGCGGGAAACCACACAAGTTCAAATCTGAACTAGTTACAGAGTCTACAGCACGCCAGTGCTGTCTCCAACAAGCAGCATCACGATATGGCTCTTAAACCGAAAACAAGTACGGAGGGGAAAGGCAAGTCAAGAAAAATTAAGTTCTATTACTGTTTTTATGATACTTTAAACTACATACATATTAATACACTTGCGATTGATTTGACTCATTTAGGGAGGGGAATAGGATGGTCTAAGGGGGTGTTCTGATTATACGCGCTATGTCAGGAACCGAACTACCACATAAAATGCGAGACAGATATGTACTTGCTGTGCTACTGGAAAGCTCAGTCCTGTAAAGAACCTCAATGTCCTTCACACAGCACTACTACAACACTGGTGTTTGTAGATTTTGTTTTTAAAAGAGAAATAAATTCTCAGTGCTTGACTATTGTAAATCAGGGGGTAGAGGTCATGCTGCAGTTTTTCCATGTGAAAATATGGCACAGCTCTGCTCTTGGGAGACGCACTTGAAGTGGCCCCTCTCACCTGTCAGAGCGTGGACAGGTGTACCATCATTCAACTCCAGCTTGACTGACAGCGGCCCGGGGGGACCATCCCGTAGCTGGGACTGGAGCAAACCCTTCCCCACTCCACTGCTTTCCTCTTGGGGATGAACCCCAGGGGCACAGTTCAGAGAAGACAGTCACGCCCGATCTGCTGGTCTCTGGAGGCGGGAGGAATCAAACCCGGGTCTCTGGAGCTGTGAGACAGTAGTGTTGCTCCCCATACTACCCTGACGGCCCACCGCGAGACAAGATCCTGAAATAAGCAACACATTCGTCAGTATCTAATGACAGTCAGATGTTAGGAGCTCACAGTCGTTGTGCGGTAACACTGTACTAGATATTGCATTAGCACCTGTCATTTTGCCCCTCATGTCAAATTAAATTGGATTTTGTCTAGAACAGGACCTCAATGTCCTCTACACATGAACTGAATTGTAGGTGGAGGGACTGATTCTTAATGAACACTACTGACTCCTACAGAAGCTCTGCCAAGCAATACCGCATTCACCTGCCTATCAAAGCTTTCCACTGCGGCACGGGACTTGGCGAGATTAATGTGCAAAACATGGCAGGCTTAGTCCATCGATATCTGCAGGAAAACACCATATGGGTTAGACAGATGTGTTTTCTGAACCCTTTTTAGTGTTTCCAGCATTTGTAGACGGTCTACACTGCTGTTCAAACACAGACAGACCTGCTGCATTTTCCCTATAATCACTACAGCATGAAATCAGCAAGTTATTTAAGCCACAGAGAACCGTTTTGCACTCGAGCACAGAGCTCATAAACTAAACTTGCATTTTAAATCTTGACAATAAGTTCTCTTGCACTGCTTATTTGGGATAAAATATGTGCAGATTTACCTTATATAATCAATATAATCTCATCTGAATGCATACAGCATAGCGCACTGATAAAACTCAACCAAACAGCTGTAATCCAATCTATATGGCATAATCACAGACA